ATACCCACACAAACTTTGCCCCCTCTCCTTTTCATTTTCTTTGGATCTATTATAATAGCTATACCTCTGTCTTCAAAATCCAACATTGTCTTTGCACTGCATGACACTAATGTGTGTGTATTGCGCCCAATATTCCAATAAATCTGTATAACCCAGCATTCCAATTCCAGGATCCAGCTATACCATATTTAGACTGCAATTCCTTCTTGGCCACATTGGGGTGTTAGTTGACGGCTGAATCTAATTATCTCTATTCTCAGGAGGCACCCCGGTTATCCCTATTAGGCCCTTATATATACTAACTTACCTTTCTGTGTCCGAGCACCAGCCTGTACCAGAGCCCTCCTCAGCAGTGTAGCAGCCAGTTCTTTCAATAGTCGCTGTTCAAGGTCCTGAAAAATGTCCATTTCAGCCATTTGTCCTCCAGCTGTGTTTCTTGCAATCTTAAGTGATGTGTCAATTTTTCCATTACATAGATTTCCTCTATTATCTCCATCCATTGTTCCTGAGTCGGAGGGTCCACTCTACCCCATTTCCTTGTGATAGCTTTTTTTTTTTTACCAGCTATTATCAGTATTTTTACCAGGTACCTATCCCCTGCATGTACATTTTCCTTTGTGAGATTACACAAATAGAGTACCTTACAGCACATAGGGATCTCATATCTCAATACCTCTTGCAAAGTTTTATGTACCGTCTTCCAAAACAGTTGTACCTTATCGCATTTCCAAAATACATGTGCATGATCTGAGCTTAATGCTCCACATTCTCTCCAGTATGGTAGATTCACACTCAAATATTTACTCTTGACCTTGGGCGTGATAACGAATCTGACCAAATTTTTCCAAGAGAACTCCCTCCATATCCGCGAATTGGTGGATGTTTGATGCATTTTCCACATATTTAGCCAATCTTTGTCCGAAATTTCTATGTTGAACTCTGACTCCCACTTTTCTTTTATATAATTAGTTGTATTCTTGTTTATTGTCAATTTTTGGTACAGTGCTGATATCATTCTAATTTTTTAATTATTGTTTGTATCACACCATTCACTTCCGTGGAGGGATCTATCTTGATTTCTTTTCTGTGATCTCTTAGTTGTAAGTACCTGTAGAATTCATGTTTACCCAGATCATATTTGGCTCTCATGTTCTGAAAACTCTCCAGCCCCCCGTCTTTCTCTAGAGTGCACCATGCCGTAATTCCCTTAATTTCCCACTGTTTGAATCATTTGTCATAACTGGCAGGTTTGAAATTACTGTCAGATGCAACCCACTTTAACAAGTGTATGTCCTGATTTATCCCATAATTTTTAATAATTTCATACCATAATTCCAGAATGAACAATGTACTGAGTCAATTTTATTTTTAATTTTATTGTATGTTTCTTTATCTCTGATCACATTCTGAATTGGGTATCCTCCAAACTCTCTCCATTTCTTTCCACTTTGCTGTGTAGTCTGGTTTACACCAGCAGAGTAAATATCTCAGCTGGGCTGCAAAGTAGTATTCTTTCAGTCTTGGTAGATCCATTCCCCCTCTGTCTCTTGGCAGCTGGAGAGTTTCAAACCTAATTCTAGGTTTTTTACCTGCCCAGATATTATTCTGTTCCAGGTCACAAACTGGGTTTGAGGAACCTATACTGGTAGAGAGTGACATAAATAGAGGAGCCTAGGTAGCACATTCATTTTGATTATATATCGAGTTAAAGCGGCAGAGTGGCCCATCTTCCA